CAGGGAAGACTCCATGCCAACCCTTCCAAAATCACCGCAGCCACCAATTGGACCACTCCCACCTGTGTGAAGGACCTGCAATGCTTCCTGGGCTTTGCAAACTCCTACCGCCGCTTTATTAAAAACTACAGCACGGTGGCTGCTCCCCTTACACAGCTCACTTTCAAGTTGAAGTTTGCATGACCCAGCACAGCAGAGCAAGCCTTCAAGGAACTCAAACACTGGTTCACCACAGCCTTCGTACTCCTCCAACCTGATCCCTCATAGCAGTTCGTGGGTGGGGTGGACACATCCAACACTGGGGTAGGAGCGGTTCTTTCTCAGCGGTCCGAGGGAGACCACGCCTTGCACCTGTGTACCTTCTTTTCCCGGTGGTTGACCCCGGCCAAATGAAATTATGATGTGGGAAACTGAGAACTCCTCACAGTCAAGTTGGCTTTAGAGGAATAGCGGCACCTCCTTGAGGGTACCAACCAGCCTTTTTTAGTTTGGACCGATCAAAAAAACTTGGCCTACCTCCAGTCAGCCAAAAGACTGAACCCGAGACAAGTGAGATGGGCCTTGGTCTTTGATCAGTTCCGGTTTACTCTCTCCTACCAGCCGGGGTCCCGAAATCAAAAGCCGGATGCTCTCTCTCAGCAGTTCCATCCTTCTGCTTTGGATGCCCCTCCAGACAACATTCTACCAGCCTCCTGTATGGTTGCTTCCATTACCTGTGAGATAGAGGACACCATACAGGAGGCTCAACAACAGGAATCTGACCCAGGGGTTGGGCTACCAGATGGATTATTCATCCCCCAAGCTGTTAGGGCCCAGACCCTCGACCCCGACCTTTTGACCTCTTTCTACAAGGCCCATTCAGACAAACCTGGGGGGGCCCCGGTGATGCCCTCCTTCTGGTGGCCCCCGCCTCCCTCCCTGGGTTGGATGGTTTGACTGTCTGGGATCCATCCTTGGGGGGGGGGGGTCCTGTGGGTTTTTTCTCGGCTGCACCTGCCTCTCTCACCTCCCTCTCTTTGTTTTTTGGTTCCTGACCGAGGATGCCATTACTGCTGTTCTCCATCCAGCCCTCACCCACCTAGATTCAAAGCACTTTTACTTGCAAATGCTGTTCCTAAACTTCAGTCCAGCATTCAACACAATAATTCCCCGCAGCTTACACAAAAACTTGGACACTTGGGACTCAAAACCTCTCTCTGCAACTGGGTGCTGGACTTTCTAACAGGGAGACCACAAAATGTGCAGGTCGGTGGCAACATCTCCAAGACCATCACGCTGAGCACAGGGGCTCCACAGGGGTGTGTGCTCTTCATACTGCTGACCCACGCCTGCGTGCCAACCTACAGCACCAACCACATTGTCAAGTTTGCGGATGACACGACTGTAGTTGGCCTTATTACCAATAATAATGAGGCTAACTACAGGAGTGAGGTGTGCCAACTTGTCCAGTGGTGTAAGGACAACAACCTCTTTCTCAATGTGGGGAAGACTAAAGAGATTGTTGCGGACTTCAGGAGAAAACCTCTAAAGCATCCACCACTGACCATCGGCGGTGCTGTAATGGAGAGAGTGAGCAGCACCATGTTCCTAGGGGTGCACATTTCTGAGGACCTCTCCTGGACCAACAACACCACATCACTGGCCAAGAAGGCTCAATCACGCCTCTACTTCCTGCGCAAACTGAGGAGAGGAAGTGCCCCACCCCCCATCATGTGCTCCTTCTACCAGGGCACCATTGAGAGAGTCATCACTGGCTGCATCACTGTGTGGTACGGAGCCTGTACTGCCTCCTGCAGAAGGACCCTGCAATGCATAGTGAAAACAGCCAGCATGATCATCAGTGCACCTCTGCCTTCCCTTACGGACATCTTCAACACCTGCCTCATCCGCAGAGCCATCAGCATTGCTAATGACACCTCCCATCTCGCAAACTCCTACTTCAGACTCCTGCCTTCAGGGAGAAGGTATCGGAGTCTTCAGGCCCACTCCACCAGACTTACAAACAGCTTCATCCACCAGGCTGTGAGGATGCTGAATGCTGTTCACTACCTTTTTATTTTAATTTATTCTATTTTAGTGCCTAAATGTTATGGCACCCAATAGTAGGTGAAAGACAAATGGTATTTTGATTTTCTGTATGTCCTGCACATATGGTGAATTCACAATAAAATCCTTGGACCATCCAGATTGTTATCAGCGCAAAGTTTAAAAGCCAGCATCTGTGATGGTATGAAGGTGTGTTAGTACCCATGGCGTGGGTAACTTGCACATCTATGAAGACACCATTAATGCTGAAAAGTACATCCAGGTTTTGGAGCAAAATATGCTGCCATCCAAGCGACATCTTCTTCAGGGACATCCCTGCTTATTTCAGCAAGTCAATGCCAAGCCACATTCTGCACATGTTATATCAGGCTTCATAATAAAAAAGTGTGGTTACTAGACTGGCCTGCCTGCAGTCCAGACCTGTCTCACACTGAAAATGTGTGGCACCTTATGAAGTGCAAAATACGACAATGCAGACCCCGGACTGTTGAGCAATTGAAGTCGTACATCAAGCAAGAATGGGAAAGAATTCCACCTACAAAGCTTCAACAATTAGTGTCCTCAGTTCCCAAAACGCTTATTAAGTGTTGTTAAAAGGAAAGGTGACGTAACACAGTGGTACAAATACCCCTGTCCCAGCTCTTTTAGAATGTGTTGCAGGCATCAAATTCAAAATGAGTGAATATTTGCAAAAAACAATAAAGTTTATCAGTTTGAACATTAAATATGTATCCTGTCTTTGTGGTGTATTCAATTAAATATGGGTCAAGAAGGATTTGCAAGTCATTGTATTCTGTTTTTATTCATGTTTTACACAATGTCCCAACTTCATTGGAATTGCTTGTATAAAGTAACACTGGAATCTCTCACTAATTTTAAACTTGCAATAAAAAATATTAATAATGGTATTATATTATTATTTCCAAACATCCATAAATTTCCCCATAAAGTTTAAAATGTAGTGTGTAATGGGTCAAATGTACTAATCTAATTCTACTGTAATTCGTTTCTTAAAAATCAGAAATGTGTAAGAATAAGACTAAGACTGAGTATTGGGGCATTTGGACAGGATAGAGGTTTGTCTAAATGACTTACAACACCAAAGCGTTTGGACATCAGCAGCTCATCTTCATTCCTCAACATCTCAAAGAAGTCCAGATGTCTGGAAGACAGGAACAACCATAATAAGTGAAGTCAGTAAGAAATGTATAAAGTACAAGTCCCCCTAACCCAGGGGTCAGTAACCCGCGGCTCTGTAGCCCCTCTCCAGTGGCTTCCTGGCTCAGTGCCTACAGCTATGCCTAGCTGTTCCTAGGACTGCACTCTTCTGGACAGAGATCTCAGATGTTGTTCCTGGGATCTGTTGGAGCCACTCTCCCAGTTTGGGGGTCACAGCCCCCAATGTTCCTATTACCACGGGGACCACTTGTGCCTTCACCTTCCACATCTTTTCTAGCTCTTCTTTCAGCCCTTGGTATTTCTCGAGCTTCTTAGTGTTCCTTCTTCCTGATGTTGCTATCGCTTGGGATTGCTACATATATCACTACGGCCTTCTTTTTCTGTTTGTCCACCACCACTATGTGCGGTTGGTTGGTCCACTTGGTCATTCTCAACCACCTTTGGAGGTGTATCTCATTTTGACTTTGGGACTTCCAGCTTGTACTCGGCACAGATGTTTCTGTACACTATGCCAGACACTTGGTTATGGCATTCCATGTATACCCTGCCTGCTAGCATCTTGCACCCCACTGTTATGTTTCCATGTATGCCCTGCCTGCTAGCATCTTGCCCCCCACTTTTATGTCGTGGATTGTCTCAAGGACATCTTTGCACAGCCTGCACCTGGGGTCCTGCCTGGTATGGTAGACCCCATCCTCTATTGATCTTGTACTTAGAGCCTGTTCTTGTGCTGCCAGGATTAGTGCCTCTGTGCTGTCTTTCAGTCCAGCTTTGTCCAGCCACTGGTAGGATTTTTTGATATCAGCCACTTCTACTATTTGACGGTGGTACATACCATGCAGAGGTTTGTCCTTCCATGAGGGTTCCTGCTCTTCCTTCCCTTGTTCCTCTGGTTTCTGTTGCCTGAGGTATTCACTAAGCACATCATCACTCAGGGCCTGATGTATTCATGGATTTCTGTTGTTTCATCCTGGATAGTGGCGCTGACACTCACTAATCCTCGGCCTCCTTCCTTCTGTTTAGTGTACAGTCTCAGGATGCTGGATTTGGGGTGAAACCTACCGTACATTGTAAGGAGCTTTCTTGTCTTGATGTCAGTAGCCTCTGTCTACTCCTTCGGCCAGCTTATTATGCCAGCGGGGTACCTGATGACTGGCAGGGCGTAGGTGTTAATTGCCTGGACTTTGTTCTTTCCATTCAGCTGACTTCTCTAGACTTGCCTCACTCTCTGCAGGTACTTGGTAGTTGTTGCTTTCCTTGCGGCTTCTTTATTGTTTTTGTGGGATCCCAAGGTACTGTAGATGTCTTCAACATCTGCTATGTTGCCTTCTGGTAGTACAATCCCCTCAGTTCTGACTACCTTTCCCTCTCCTTGTTACCATTCGACTACACTGTAGATCCTAGTGGTGTGGATCAGTGAGTTGATGTCTCGTTCACTCCTGGCATACAGCTTGATGTCATCCATGTAGAGCAGGTGGCTGATGGTTGCTCCGTTCCGTAGTCGGTATCCGTAACCACTCTTGGTGATGATTTGGCTGAGGGGGTTCC